CATCCATCTTTCCAAAAGAGAACTTTAGATCCATCGCCTATCTTGAAGCAGCTTCTGTCCAGAACATGTTGCTTCTGTTTTAATATAGATTTCCAGGGACCATGGGCAGAAGCAAGAGAATAGTGAAGGGAGCTTTTGTGCCTATCGAGGGGCCCATATTTGGCTTCAATGACTTGCCTCCAAAGGGCCAATTCTTCTGTATGATACCTCCAAAGGGCTAATATAGTTAATTTTTTTTTTTCATGGCTCCTTTTGGATTATTCATGACCCCTTTACATAGCTTATAGTACTCTGATGATTGTACTTCTCGATACTTGATCTCAATCTTAGGTTGTAAGTTTCTGAGTGATGTGTATAATGGCAGGTTCCTTGTGGGAATTGAAAGGCAGTCTTATCAGAAATCTGGGATTTTTCCTCGACATGGCAACATTATTAATGGCACTTGGTCATTATGTGCATATATGGCGGCTTCATGGAATGACATTTAATCTCGTGGATGCAGTCCTTTTCTTGAACATTCGCGTAAATATTATTGACCATTTTTACATAATTATATTTGTTCTTGGTTATAAATTGTCTCATATCCTTTTATTTGCATTGGAGCAGGCCTTATTAAGTGCAACAATAAAGCGTATTAGAGGTTTCATGAAATTGAGAAAAGCTTTAGGTGCTCTACACGCAGCTCTTCCTGATGCAACATCTGAAGAGCTGCAATCATATGATGACGAATGTGCTATCTGCAGGGTATATAATTTTATGTTTAATCACTTTTTGTCCATAAAATTTTTATTGGTCAAAGTATTATAAAGTAGGGTAATAATGACAGGAACCTATGGCCAAGGCTAAGAAGTTAAACTGCAATCACCTTTTTCATCTTGCTTGCTTGAGATCTTGGTATGATTGTGTACTTTGCTTATGCAACCAGTTTTATGTTTTCAAGTATATGAAGCAGTGGGGCTTAATTACAATGCAAATATCATGCCAGGTTGGATCAAGGTCTAAATGAATATTATTCATGTCCTACTTGTCGAAAGCCACTTTTTGTAGGCAGACAAGAAAATGACGTAAATCCTCGTGCAGGAGGGACTTTTAGTGATGAGCAGCTTGCTCGTCAGATAAGTGCAGGACTTAATCGACAGAATGCTACTGTACCCACCCTTCCTGCTGGAATTTTCCCCAATCAGACACAAAATTCCGTTGAAGGCAGTCCTTGGAGGTCTGTTCAGAACCTTCAAATTTTGTTTTCCATTTCCAAGCATGATAATATTTAGTTTTTATTTTAGACCTTTTTGATATATATATATATATATATATATATATTTTTAACAAGAAACAAACTTCTAAGTGATATATTAAAAGAGAGCAAATGATACAAACTCTAAAGGGGAGCGAAAAAGAAAAGAACCAACGAGAAATTGAAAAGATACAAAAATGAACAACTCAGATGAAAACCCATCTGAAAACCTAGACAAAAAGTATTCCAATTAAGACTTGAACACTTTCTTCAAAACAAACCCAAAAAACACTTTCTTTGAAACAAACCCAATCTTTAGAGATTGATATCATCAGACTCGACTTCAAAGAGCAAAATATCATATTTTTTTTGGTTGATTTAGCGATTCCTTCAGCAAGTTCCTTCTCATACTCAACATGAATCTTCAATTTTCTTCTATCAAAATCTTGTAAGCAGGCCACCCATTATTTTTCAAGTCTATCCGCCTCCGAATCTAGAAAAGCTAACCAACTATTGAGGACATTGAAGTCATGAGGAATTTCAGCTGGTGGATCTATCTTGAAGCCATGAGAGGGAGGAGGAGAGACCTCAGAGGAGTTTGCTGGGAGATATGGCTGTGAATTCATTGTGATGGAAGACTTAATTACCAAAAAGAGTCTTTAAATAGGCTGAGAAAAGTAACGGGCAACAGGCAACAGGCAACAGGCAACAGGCAACAGCCATCCAGCCTCTTTTCAATGAACCTCTTCGACTTCAAACAACTCCTTGGGAAAAGAAGATGAGGAGAAAAGACCAAAAAATGCTGCATAGAAAGACCTTTTGGATATTTCCATCAAAGTATTTTTAGAGTATTTTTTTAAACAAAGAAACAAACTTTTCATTGATAGATGAAAAGAAAGAAAAAGTTCAAGGATACTGGTTTCCGAAGTGAAGAAACAAGCAACTTGAAGAATCACAATAGTCCAAATAGAATCATAATGAACGAAATGCCCAGAGGAGAAACAAGCTAATAAAAAACTCAAAAGCAGAACTACAAAAGTGAAAAGCCATTGAGACTAAAATCATATCCACTAAAAGGCAAAAATAGCTCCTAAACCATTGTCCATAGGATAAAACTAGAAGGTAAATCTTTATATTTAGCTCTTGGAAACGGGATTCCATTGTCAAAAAACCCGCTCTCGGTCCTTTGGAAGACCTCTTGTCCAAGGAAGGTCAGTATCTTATCTTGGATCCTGTTGTATGGCAAGCTGAATAATTGGGGAACTGTGAAACGGAAGCTCTCCAATTTTTCACTTCAGCCTTCTGTCACCTGCTTATTTTTTTTCGTGTGGCAAAAGTCAAGAACACTTATTCTTTCACTGTCATTATGCCTCGAGAGGTTGGTGGCCTATTTTCAAAGTCTTCAACTTATCTTGGGTCTTCTCAGTTGACACCAAAAGCAATCTGCTGCAGCTACTTTATTGCTCCTTTTTTCATCTGAAGGTTCGTTCTTTATGAGTTTGTATAGTCAAAGCTTTACTATCATAAATTTGGTTTGAAAGGAATCAGGGAATCTTCCAAAACGAAAGCGAGGATTGGTTCGAATGTTTTGAGGTTGCAAAATTTAAGGCGTCTCAATGGTATTCTCTTTCAGTTTTATTCTCGAGTTATTATTCTTGTATCATCTTTGATGCTTGAGAAGCTTTTATTTCTTCTTAGTTTTCTGATTCTTATTTTATTTTTGGGCTTCTTTCACTCCTTTTGGAGTTTGTATCTTTGAAAATTTCTGGTTTTTTCATTTATCAATGAAAAAAATCTTGTTTCTTGTTAAGGAAAATAAGGAAAAAGAAAAAAAAACTTCTGAAGGAGGTCAAGAAAACTTTAGTGAGAAAAACTGCTTCTTTCAAAGCGGCCTACAAAAAGACAGCCCAGGGAGCCCCCTAAAGAAAAGGGCTTCAATCCAAAAGAATGAATCCTAACGGATAATTACAAAAGGCCTTGGAAACAGAGCCCCATAACGAAGTATTAAATCTAATGAGCTCCCAAATATAATCTATAGATTTCTCCACCCCCTAAGCAATCTGTGATTCCTCTCCCGCCAAATGTCCCAAAGAGTAGCCAAAAAACAAGCTTGCCACAAGAAACGCCCCCTATCCCGAAAAGGAGGGTGTAGAAACAAAGCCAAAGATCTTGTGCAAACTGACAAGTCCACAACAAATGCTCAAGGTCTTTCGAGGCACTCCTACAGAGTACACACCATTGCGGGCCCAGACAAGAGGAAGACATCCTCTAGATACGATCCAAGGTATTGAATTTACCAARTAAGACTTGCCACCCGAAAAGCTTGATCTTCTTTGGAATTTTAATCTTCCAAAGGGAGGTAAACCAAGGGGACGACGGGGAAAACGAGGACGGGGAATTCAAGATATGAAAAAAGGAACTACAAGAAAAACCTTTTGAAGGGCTAGGGGTCCACACCCTCACATGCTCCCTCCCAGAATAGGAGGGGATCTCAGACAACAAAGCAAGTAAAGCAGAAACCTCTAAAGCTTCTCGATCCGTCAAAGAACGAGAAAGACCCAAAGAAATGGAAGGACCCACCCCCCTATGATTTAAAACTTCAGCCACGGAAAAAAGTCTTTTATCAGAAAGATGATAGAGCCGAGGAAACGCTATGCATAGAGGTTTATCACCTACCCAAGAATCCTCCTAGAAATAAGTGTTATGACCATCCCCCACAATAGAACGAAGAGATTGACAAAAAATGGGGAGACACAAAGCAATAGCCTTTTAAGGATTGTTATTGTTCACCTTAGACCCACCTACTGGGAGCCAATCGAACGGGTGCAGCCCATACTTGCTCACAATAATCCTTCGCCACAGGGTGCTAGGTTCATGGAAGAACCACCACAACCACTTAGCCAAAAAAGCCTCATTCCTAACCCTCAAGTTCCCAATGCCCAAGCCCCCCGCTTCCAAGGGCTTGATAACCTCTTTCCAACTAACTAAATGAGCACCACCCCCCTCCTCCACACCTTCCCAAAAAAGGTCCCTCATAATCTTTTCTAACCCCTCGCTGACAGCCACCGRGATCTTGAAGAGAGAGAGAAAGTAAGTC